AAATATTATTGGATTAAAAATTATATTATTTTTAAACTAAATAAGATGTTATTAAGGAATACGGCAGTTAATTTAATCAATTTGGTACATATTTTAACCATAAATAATGAACTTATATATTAATTTCATTTTCGGAAAAAAAATCATTTTCGAAAAAAACTTACATATCTATTAAACCTTGTGTCACATAATTAATATTCATAGTTGAAAAAGCGTATTGAGTTGTAAAATTAAATTTTGTAAATTTAATACACTTAAAAAAAATTCTAATTATTATTGTAATCAAAATTAATAATTTTGTAGGCTATCAAATTTGTACCACATTTGAGCATCAAATAGGACTTGCATTAATATATACTAGTTGTAAGATTCATATATTACCTGGTTAATTTAAAAAAAAAAATTAAATATAAAGATCAAAATATTTAAGAACTTTGAACTTATAAAAAAATAAGAAAAGTAATGAATTATAATATAATAGAAATGTATTTTATCTTTTAAATTTAAACAAATAATTTAAATAAATAAAAGAAACTAATGAGTTTTAATTTTGAGAATTTCGAAATTAAAAGGTAAGTTTATTAATGAAATTGATATCAATTTATTACTATATTTATTGCAATTATTATATTAAAATATTATGTGAAATTTAATAAAATAGAAAAACTCATAAAATAACATGTGGAAAAAAAATTCAAAATAACCATAAAATGACATTTGACAAATTGAATGAAAATGTGACAAGTGGCAAAAAAAAAACATTCATTTATTAGAGAGGAGATGACACCGACAAATGTCACTATTATACTAAATATATAAACAATTATATTACTTGATGTATGATTTTGATATCAGATTTCGGGATAATATTTTTTAAAAGTTTTTTAGAATTAAGGATTATACGAATTACGTAATCCGTTTTAACAAAATATCATGTTGAAAAGATATTATTATTAGATATAATAGCATTATTGAAATTAAAAAAAAATGTATAAAGTTAAATGAAATATATCTATTTATATATCTATATTTCATCTATAAATAGAAGTTATATGTTATAAAATTAATTGCTACTTGTGTTTTATGGTGATATTTTCTAAACAGCCATACGAGAAAGTAGAAACGTATTGATTTTTTTTTTTAAAACAAAGCAGTCATTTTAATTTCATTTGATATGATATCACAATATGTTGATTTCGATTATACCTAAATTATGTGATTATTGATAAAAGCTTCATAAACTTTTTTTTTCTATGATTATCTTCTTTATTTTGTATTGTTAACAGAACTGCAGAAGTAATCATACATTTATTATGTGTTGCAGGATTTTGACAAGGTATATGGGCCGGCCTGGCATTGCATTGTGGGTTCAAGCTTTGGGTCATTTGTGACACATGCAACCGGTTGTTTTCTTTATTTTTCCATGGAAAATTTATACATTTTAGTTTTTAAAACAAAAGTTCTAAAAAATGTGAACACTCTACAATAAAATTAGTGGGTAGATGAAATAGTATGATTCCTATATCAACCACTATAGTTATATGCCCTTTTTTT